TAATCATGACAAACTATATATCGTTGGAAAGCTCTAAGACTCCTATATAGATATTTTACCAATGTGTTTGTAAAAAAATTATGTAGGAAAAGTAATAGATTAATTTATGACAAGAGTGCACCTCATAAATCTACATCATAACAGGAGTTCTGACCTTTCTCAAAAAAAGTCTTCTTTGTTGCCTTTTTCTCTAACACACTTTAGAAATCATCAGAAATTATATATCATTTGAAAACTTTAGATCTCAAAATTCATCCTTTGAAAACCATTTTAAAATCAAACATTGCACTACCATGAAAATGGTACATCAATATCATGTTACAAAATGTTTTCATTCATGAATTATACAAATTTTAGTTTGGATCGTGCTTTCTTTAATGGTATACTTTTTTTCATGAAAAAAGGGCCCATTCAATAACATGTTCTGGTACCCATCCCTTCTTACAAGAGAAGCACAGAAGAATCAGTTGCAAAGCTACATGTCTGTATATCTTGCATCTGCATTTTCTAAATACATCTTAAGTGGAAGAATAATTAGTCATTTTAAAAATAACAGTGAAGAAAAATAAGAAAGCACAATAATAAAATGTTTTGGCAGTTATTTGGGGAGGAACTCCATCTTTGATTTGATCAGAATCTCAGCTGAATCTTGAATACTTACTGTGAATGTTTTTTGTATGATCTGTGTAGAGAAGATGACTGATTGAAACACTTGCCACATGCAGTGCAGTGATACGGTTTCTCTCCAGTGTGGATCCTCTCGTGTGTTTTCAGATTTCCTGACTGACTGAATCTCTTGTCACAGTGTGAACACTTGTAAGGTTTCTCTCCAGTGTGGATCCTCTCGTGTGTTTTCAGATTTCCTGACTGACTGAATCTCTTGTCACAGTGTGAACACTTGTAAGGTTTCTCTCCAGTGTGGGATTTGATCAGAATCTCAGCTGAATCTTGAATACTTACTGTGAATGTTTTTGTGTATGTCTGTGTAGAGAAGATGACTGATTGAAACACTTGCCACATGCAGTGCAGTGATACGGTTTCTCTCCAGTGTGGATCCTCTCGTGTGTTTTCAGATTTCCTGACTGACTGAATCTCTTGTCACAGTGTGAACACTTGTAAGGTTTCTCTCCAGTGTGGATCCTCTCGTGTGTTTTCAGATTTCCTGACTGACTGAATCTCTTGTCACAGTGTGAACACTTGTAAGGTTTCTCTCCAGAGTGGATCCTCTCATGCAGTTTTAAACGGCTCGCTAAATTAAAAGTCTTTTCACACTCAAAGCACATGTTCTCTCTCACAGCAGTATGTATTTTCTGATGTTCTTTCAAAGTTGAAAAATGTGAAAAACTCTTTCCACACAAATAACATGAATGTTGCTTCTCCTTTGTATGAACTCTCAGGTGTTTCTTCAGGTCTGAAGCTCTCAAAAATGTTTTGCCGCATTGATCACATGTGCACAGTTTCTCTCTAGTGTGAATATTCATATGTATCTTAAGTTGTGATGATCAATTGAAACTCTTCCCACACTGATCACAAGTGTAAGGTTTCTCTCCAGTGTAGATCCTCTCATGTATTTTCAGATTTGCTGACTGACTGATTCACTTGTCACAGTGTGAACACTTATAAAGTTTCTCTCCAGTGTGGATGTTCATGTGTTTCTTAAGGCTTGATGATTGAATGAAACTATTCCCGCACTGATCACAAGTGAATGGTTTCTCTCCAGTATGAACTCTCATGTGAACATCAAGAACCTGTTTGCTTGTCAAACTCTTTCCACACTGAGTGCAGGTGAAATATTTCTTGGCTCTTTTCTTCAAATCTTTATGTTTGTTTTGAGAGCAACTCAAAGGTTTTTCTCCAGTTTTGACATGATCTTTCTCCTCATCTTCACTCAATTCTTCGTTCTTCTCACTTTCTTCAATAAAATCTAAAATAAAAGCAAAAACACTTAATTTGTCTGTAACTTCAAAAACAACCAAACAAAAACAGAAATGTGAAAGTACGTGAAAGTCAACCCTGGTGTAACAATTTCTATTCAAAATTGTGTTTCTTTTGATGCAGTTTTATAAATTTTACCTCCCTGAAACTTTTATGAATGAGGTACATTGATTTTCAAAATATAATTTTTAAAATAGACACAAATCACGTTTCTATAAGAACTATTAAATATGTTTGATCAACTACACAATTATCTAACATACATTCTGTTGAAAAAAAGTGTCCCTTATTATTTGCTGCTCCGTCTATATTATTCAATCGCTCTAAAGATTGTTTCTGTTACAACAAACTAAATCTAAAACGGCAGCAGATGTGTTCTTGCTCTGCCCTATTATCCAGGCTGCATCTATATATGCATATATATTTATTTAATTTAATCGTAGTACAGCACTGACTTTGTAGCATACGTTTGACTTACCGGAATTACCGGACTTCCGTCCTCCCGTCCCCAAGAGTTCACACTCTCAAGTTGAACTTGCAAAGTCCAAACTACCTAGCATGCAAATCTGAACTTTGCGTACTTGGTATTGGAAAACAGTTAACGTCCCTTTAAAGGCACAATATGTACGATTGTTTTATTAAAATATCCAAAAACCACGAGAACAGTGTTATATATTTTACATTATCCCAAATGTTTCAAAGAATAGTTAAAATAGCTTATTTCTCTGGATTTAAACAGTGACACGGACCGTGTCCATAGTGTCATTGTGTCACCTGCACGATTGACGTCATAACCCCTCGATTTCCGGTTTTGTTTTGTAGAAAACATGGAAACACCAAAGATGCTTTAATAGGTTATGCGTTTTATTAGACAGGTGACGCCCACACAGAGTAGCATTATAACAGAACTTTCAAATGTATCTAAAACAGCGCTGCTTTACCCCACATACGCACGACCGGAAGGAGCGGAAGCGATCGACTGTGGCATAATAAAAGCTCGGCACGCTCAACTACACCAGTACAAATGGATACAGCACATTAACATACATCAGAATGTTAAATCATGAGAACCGTATTCACATTGCCTTTCTATAAAGGTGGACGCAATGCTGAAAGAAGAATTGAATATCCAGTTAGAGGATTCAGTCTTCTGGACTGACAGTACAGCAGTACTGAAGTACCTCAACAATGAAGATAAGCATTTCCATACATTCGTAGCAAACAGGCTTGCATCCGGTTTCTCAAGTTGAAAATAATCTTATTGGAAAGAATTCGCTTGGGAAAGAAGCAGAAGGCTACAAATGCTGGTCATTCAAAGAACAATCAGGACAGTGGTGTACAGTCTAAGGGGTCAAAAATCATAACGCCTAAGAGTTTTGTTTTGACACTGGATGATCTATTGGGAAACAGCGGAAGCCATTGTTCACTATTGCCAGCAAAATAAATTCAGTAAGGAAATGTCTGCTCTTTCATCTGGGAAAGTCACAGTGAATCGGCAAAGTTCTATTTATCGGTTGGATCCATTTTTGGATGATGGACTGTTAAGAGCTGGAGGAAGACTGAGTAAAGCAGCCATGCCTGAAGAGGTCAAGCATCCGCTTATACTCGGCAAAGATCAGCATATTTCTATGCTTATTCTGAAGCATGTGCATGAAAGTCTGGGTCATGGTGGACGAAGCCACACGTTATCCACAGTTAGGAGGAAATTTTGGATTACTAACTTCCACTCAGCTGTCAGGAAGATAATTTCTGGGTGTGGCTTTTGTAGATGCCATAATAGAAGAGCAGCTGAACAAAAAATGGCAGATCTTCCAAAGGAGAGGATCCTTTCCGATCTACCACCATAACGAGTGAAAAGACCTGCGACTTTACCTGCGCGACTTCACCGAGCAACGAAATCGCCAAGGCACTTAAGTATATTTTGCTCTTCCCTGTACACACTGTCCTTTTCTGTCCTCTCTTTCCCACCTCTATAATGTGTTTCCAAACCATTCCGGTTGTCTCTCGACGATGCTCTATGGTCACACGCAGACGGCAACGCAATGTTGCTAACCTGCATCCTAT